GTACAGTAATGTCACTTCCTACGATCTTACTGTTACACTGAAACTGTTCAGTTTGGTTCACTAACCGTTTTCATTATCATATTATACATGTGTTGACATAGCTGATTGTGAAAGATACACGAAAATAGTTCGTGAAATGGCTTATGATATAACATCACATGTCGGCTAAATGCAGTTTATTGTAACATGATCATGGTACGAGCACAGAGCATTAGTTCAACGTCAAGCTGATAAAAGTAGGCTATTATTGTACCTGCAGTGGGAGTTTACATTAGTTTCCAGCATGTTGTGTGATGATTTTGCTGTTGCGTTGAAAGTCTCCTTGTGGCCGGTAGTGAATGGTCGCTCTTGAGATCTAGCACGCACACGAGCACGAGCGCTCTTGTTGCATTCTGAAACATCACCGCTAGAGGCCGCTAAAAAAACGCATAGAGCACCTTTAAATGTGAAGCTAATGTAATTCAATGTTAAATGTGAAGCTAATGTAATTCAATGTTAAATGTGAAGCTAATGTAATTCAGTGTTAAATGTGAAGCTAATGTGATTTAATTTAATGTTTGTTTTAACCCGGCAATTTTTTAGAGTGTAATGTTATAAATGTATATTAACACATCAATGGGCCTGACTGGTGTTTTATGGTGTCAGATCTACTTTATCACCTAGTTATAGATCATTCACCTTCTACCTTATTTTATTTATTCTCTCAGGTTAAGTTGGTTGAATTCTCCAATAGATAATAAGCATTCAAATTCATACAGTCTAGAAAGACCCCTCCGTGGCTAAGTTCTTTATAGCAAGCAGAGACTCATTGCAGGCAATCTTTTTATAATTATTATTTTTAGTTTTATTATATAAAGTGTTTCAAAGTTTTCAAACAAGTTAACAAGTTGTAGTTCAAGAGCATCAGTTCACAAGTTCCACCAGCAGGTGTCAGGCTTGGATCATCAAACAATGGAGAGGCTGGCTTAGCTTCAATACAAATTACTGTACTTTTTATAATGCATATTACACGACACACCTCCTTCTTACATACATAATTTCATTTGCACAATTTGTCCAATCCTAAATCTTGAATCATGTTTAACTCTTTCAGTGCTTTCACAATTCCCTTATAAAAAGCTTGATCCTTCCTTGTCTCCCCCCTTCCTGCTTTTCCCTATATAAGCTTATCCCTTACTGTTGTTTCTTTTGATATATCGCATGTTCAGATATTCCTACAACAAATTGTTCTGGGGTGAAACTGTGAAAATGACCAAAAATTTTAGATATAACCATAGGCTGTTAAGAAAATACTGTATTAAACCCAAGAAAAGTAAAAAAAAAAAAAAAAATAGTGCTAAAAAAGGCAAACTGCCTTCAACAAAATATGTTTTCCTCATATGTTTTCCTTATATATTCTGTAGGGTATACATTTGAGTTGAGAGTGAATCAATATTGAAATTGGCTTTCAGGTTTTACCCATTATAGAAAGACTTGAATGACTGCCATATGATGTGTATATATTGCATTTTAACCATCATCATATCTTTATTGCAGACTCAAGGTCCAAATGTATAGTATAAAACACAGGTCGGACAACTGATCGTGCTCCTCCCGAAATGTGTTAATAAAACATAGCCTAATTTAGTTTTGGCCCGCCCGGAAGAAGAAGGATAGCCTATTCTACACTGTCACTGCTCGCTGTAGAGTTTCCTTTATCGTGTGTGTGTGTTGAAGAGAAGTAAGTGTGTTTGATTATATCTTGTGCTTATATGAATATAACATCCCGATTCTTGTCTTTAGTGTGAGAGTTTTTAGGTGTTACTGTCCATTATTATAACAGCATCATCTTCAGAAGTGCGTGTTTACAGAGCGAATCCAGGCAAGTTTGTGTATTGTATTATGTTTAGACTATGATACTTGTTTAATCAGCATATGGTGTTTTTTCACGTGAATAACCTGTTCCGACAGTATTGTCTGGTATGTTTATGACAGTTGTTTTTGCTTAAAGGCACAGTCAGGCATCATATGGTGCTCTAATTGTCTTATTGTGATATTTAATGCTGCTGATCGTATATATATAGTGCATGTATTTCAGTTGTAATTTATTATGTATTTATTTGCTTTAGACACCACACATGTGCCATATGAATGTGAGAGCGTGCATAACAAGTTCTTTCTTAAATTGGAACACAAAGTCCACACTAGAGGCTCAGGAACTACTGGCCATTTATTAACTAACTCTGGACTTTGTTCCGTGGCAGCATTTGTTCTTAAGTGTTTGTGCTTGAAGACGACTCTTAATATCCTTAATTGGGCTTGTTATTTTGCATTATATGTTTTTTTAAGGAGAAAGTGTGTATTCTGCAAATTTATATATTTATTTAAGATGTGTGGAAATGACTGCGTTGTGTGTAACTTTTGTGGACGTTTAAGATGTGAGGCTCTGTCACAAAGCATACAAAAAGTGTTAGGCTACTTAAATTTAACTTCAATGATAAATTGAACTTCGACCTTCTAATATATAAATGAATAATGCCATTATACATATTGTATTATAATAATGATTTTTGGCTCTTTTTGGCTTCCAGGTTTCAACAATTGTAATGATCTATGACTGCTGTGTAATGAGAACGCTATTTAATGAATGAAGGTAAACAAAATATAAAGATTTAACCCGTTTAATCCCACCGGTCACAATTGTGACCGCAGCATTTTTCTTATTTCTGGAAGCTCTAAAAATGTTGTTATTGACTTTGGGCAAGAAATTCTACTTTTAAATGACAAAATAGACTGTCTTGATTAAAATCAATTAATGTCATGTGACTAGTGTTAAAGGTCACATGACCAGATCAGTTCACTTCCTGCTTGCACAACTAGAATAAGATTTCTTCCTCAGACTACTAAAATAAGTAGTATATAAAACATCTTAATTTGCAGATAGAACTATCAAATTTTGTACATATATTCTTTAAAGGGTCTACTACTGATATATTTTGAGAATTATACTCCTGCATTTATATTTTGCTCGTAAGACCTGTAAATTTGTTTACGGTCACAATTGTGACCGGTAGTATAACAGTATAGCAGTGCTTCAATTGAAAACACAGGTATAGGCAGACATTGGCGGGTATTGGCAATCCTACACTGAATATGCCACATCTGTGAGGAGGATGGATGATCTCAGCGAAGGAGAAGTGCTCACTAACACAGATTTAGACAGATTTGTGAACAATATTTGATAGAAATAGGCCTTTTGTGTACATAGAAATGGTCTAGATCTTTGAGTTCAGCTCAGGAAAAATGGGGGCAAAAACAAAAGTGTTGCATTTATAATTTTGTTTAGTGCACTTATCAGTATCCCAGAAACGTTCAATGTGTTGGACCTTTTTGACGTGCATGACCCCCTTCCTCCCACCCCAAATTGAAAGTGACTGTGATAGTGATGGCTCAGATAGGGAGTCCCAGGGTGAAACGGCCCATTTGCCAGGTAGACTATTGAATGGCGATGCAGAGGTGAACTATCTGGAGGATTGTGCAGATGTTCATGAGAACCAAATGGTGTGCCCCACACATGACCACAAACAACCCTTTCTACAACGTACGGCCCATCTTCAGTGCACTGAAAGAGTGCACACACATCTACCTGAAACTGGCCTAGGACAGGGCCCAAGTGTAGACATGGTCTAGCCCATAGGGGTCTAGACGAACAAGCAGAAGTTCCTCCAGGGTGTAACTTTGTTCATGACAACCTTTTCATCTCACGAAGCCTTCTTCACGAAATGACAAAATGAGATATTGGATGTCTTGTAATGAATTGTGTCAATAGGTCTAATTGAATAATTTGAATTAATTCTGACTATGTAGTTTCCCACCGGTCACTATTGTGACCGAGTATAAAACCTAATATTTCACTAACTTAATCAACATAAAATCAAAAAAGGCATATTGTTTGAGTGTTAGGGAGGTCTAAGGAGTAAAATGCATGTACTTAAGTTGCAAGAAAAAATTTGGGATTAAACGGGTTAATAAATACATGTATTCTGGCTTCCAAATTAAATTATAATTAAAGCTGCAAGCAGCGATGGGCAGGCCCTCGCACCTGTAGCGCGTTGGGGTGTGAGGCGGCCGCGTTGCATATTCTGCGGCTCAGCCGGTGCGGCTGTGAATTTGGTTCGCTGCTTCGTTAATGGTCACTTTCTGTTGCCAGCAGGTGGCGCTATGACTTAGGGTGAATGCGGGCATGTAGATTTGTTCAGGGCGGGACTCTTGTCAAATGTGTCAAATTTCATTCAGATCTGGGCATTTACAGCCAAGTTACTACAACTTCCTGTTTCATGGCGAATCATCGACGCCACGGACATGCCCATCGATGAAAACGCGCAGAGAGCACAACTTTACATCGTCAATGCCTTTAGAAGGCACAGCAGAAATTTGAAGTCGATCCGACTAAATACCTAGGAGGAGTTCGTTAAAGTACGGAGTCTGTAAATCGTCCAAAAATGGGCGCCAAATTCAAAATGGCGGACTTCCTGTCGAGTTTAGGGTATGGGTTCTTGAGGCTTTTTTGTACGTCTGGTCATGGTAGATGTACCACAGAAATTTCGTACATGTCGGTCAAACAAGCGGCGGAGGCTGCTTCGTTAAATGTCACTTCCTGTTGCCAGCAGGTGGCGCTATGACTGTGGGTGAATGTCGGCATTTAGATTTGTTCAGGGTGGGACTCTTGTCAAATGTGTAAAATTTCGTGCAGATCTGGGCATTTACAGCCAAGTTACTACAACTTCCTGTTTCATGGCGAATCTTCGACGCCACGGACACGCCCATCGACGAAAACGCGCAGATAGCACAACTTTACATCGTCAATGCCTTTAGAAGGTACAGCAGAAATTTGAAGTCGATCCGACTAAATCCCTAGGAGGAGTTTAGTGAAAGTACGTAATGAGTAAATCATCCAAAAATGGCAGTAAAATTAGAAATGGCCGACTTCCTGTTGAGTTTAGGGCATCACTCCAAGAGACTTTTTTGTGCGTCTGGACATGGTAGATGTACCACAGAAATTTCGTACATGGCGGTCAAACATGCGGCGGGTGCTGCTTCGTTAAAGGTCACTTCCTGTTGCCACTAGGTGGCGCTATGACTGTGGGTGAATGTCAGCATGTAAATTTGTTCAGGGCGGGACTCTTGTCAAATGTGTAAAATTTCATGCAGATCTGGGCATTTACAGCCAAGTTACTACAACTTCCTGTTTCATGGCGAATCATCGACGCCACGGACACGCCCATCGACGAAAACGCGCAGATAGCACAACTTTACATCGTCAATGCCTTTAGAAGGTACAGCAGAAATTTGAAGTTGATCCGACTAAATCCCTAGTAGGAGTTCGTTAAAGTACGGAGTGTGTAAATCGTCCCAAATCGGTCGCCAAATTCAAAATGGCGGACTTCCTGTCGAGTTTAGGGTATGGGTTCTTGAGGCTTTTTTGTGCGTCTGGTCATGGTAGATGTACCACAGAAATTTCGTACATGTCGGTCAAACAAGCGGCGGGGGCTGCTTCGTTAAAGGTCACTTCCTGTTGCCAGCAGGTGGCGCTATGACTGTGGGTGAATGTCGGCATGTAGATTTGTTCAGGGCGGGACTCTTGTCAAATGTGTAAAATTTCGTGCAGATCTGGGCATTTACAGCCAAGTTACTACAACTTCCTGTTTCATGGCGAATCTTCGACACCACGGACACGCCCATCGACGAAAACGCGCAGATAGCACAACTTTACATCGTCAATGCCTTTAGAAGGCACAGCAGAAATTTGAAGTTGATCCGACTAAATCCCTAGGAGGAGTTCGTTAAAGTACGGAGTCTGTAAATCGTCCAAAAATGGCCGCCAAATTCAAAATGGCGGACCTCCTGTCGAGTTTAGGGTATGTGTTCTTGAGGCTTTTTTGTGCGTCTTGATATGATTCACGTCCCCACCAAATTTCGTGCATGTAGGTTGAACGTGGACGAGGGGCTAATTTTTTCCAATTTTCTAGGTGGCGCTAGCGAGCCATTTTGCCCCGCCCATCCGCGAAACCCACAAAATGCGAAATTTTTCACCAGTCCTGACATGCGTGCCAAATTTGGTGAGTTTTTGAGCATGTTGCGGCCCCGAAAATGGCACTTACTTTGCAGAAAAAAAAAAAGAAAAAGAAAAAAAATTAAAGCTGCAAGCAGCGATGGGCGGGCCCTCGCACCTGTAGCACGTCGGGGTCTGAGGCGGCGGCGTTTCATTTTCTGCAGCTCAGCCAGTGCGGCTGTGCATTTGCCATACTGCTTCGTTAAAGGCCAGTTCCTGTTGCCAGCAGGTGGCGCTATGACTGTGGGTGAATGTCGGCATGTAGATTTGTTCAGGGCGGGACTCTTGTCAAATGTGTTAAATTTCGTGCAGATCTGGGCATTTACAGCCAAGTTACTACAACTTCCTGTTTCATGGCGAATCATCGACGCCACGGACACGCCCATCGACGAAAACGCGCAGATAGCACAACTTTACATCGTCAATGCCTTTAGAAGGCACAGCAGAAATTTGAAGGCGATCCGACTAAAGCCCTAGGAGGAGTTAGTTAAAGTACGTAATGAGTAAATCATCCAAAAATGGCGGTAAAATTAGAAATGGCTGACTTCCTGTTGAGTTTAGGGCATCGCTCCAAGAGACTTTTCTGTGCGTCTGGACATGGTAGATGTACCACAGAAATTTCGTACATG